CCCTTCCGACGTACGATCATTCCCGTTGCGGGGGGGGGGCTTGGCCCGGGTAACGCCCGTTACGCGCGAGAGGATAAAAACAATCTCTAGATGGGGCACCTGCGAGGCCCCCCTCCACCCCGGCCCCGAAGGACAAATTCAGGGCCTTTCTTGCCTCGGGTGGGCTGTCGCCTGCGGACGCTGCCACGCCGGAGAGAGAAAGCGTCGAAAGGGCCGCCCCACCCAGAAGCGAGCTGGAAACGAAGACTGGCACCCGCAGATCGCGTCGGATCGCGCTCCGAGCACCAGAGGGGCGTCGGACCGGCATCGCACCCTCGAGCAGTCGACGTGCGCAGAGAGCGGGTGGGGCGAGGGGGGCGGCCTTCTGAGAAGGCAGGGGGTGCTTCTCGGAAGGGACTGGAGGCCTCTACTAAGAATTCGTATAGGGCACGAGGGCTCCTACAAAAGATGCAACAGTTGCACGAGCAGAAGGATTCGGAAGTCCGCGCCGGCGGCGCCGCCCCTGGCGCGCTCCGCGCGCCAGGCAGGAAGGGTCCAGCGCGGATCCAAGAGATCCACGCGGGCCTCCGAAAATGTGTGCTTGTGCTTTTCGAACTGCGTGCAAGGCATGAGGGCGTCTGGGCAGCCACCCGCCCCGTCAGAAGGCTGCCCTCCTTTGGACGAGGCCAGGACGAGGATCAATCCGTTCCAGAGCGTTCCGGAACGCTCTCAGAGCGTTCTGGAACGCTCTGAGAAGGCCGCGGCGTCTGATACATCCTCAAGAGCCGCTGGATCTCGGAGATTCTCGATTCATCCTCACCTGAATTGGTCCTCGTCCTGGCCTCGCTACATGAGGGAAAGTGGGGGTCATTTGGGGGGAATGGCGCCTCCCAGGCCCCCCTTCCCAGGCCCGTGCAAAGCCGCCAAACGGCAGCTCGGGATGAGCTGGTGCCGGACGGATAGCCACATGGGACCAGGGCCAGCTTTTGACGGCAGTCTCCTCCCCATGCCTCTCACTTCCGCCATCACCTTCTGGTGGCACACAACCGAAGCTGGCGGCGCGCCCAGAACGGTTGGCGCGAGGGGGTGGCCTTCAAAGGAAGGAATCGGCGCCTCCTGACCCAGACAACCTCGGCGGGCACTGGAGGCTACGTCCCACGGGGACCGACTGTAGGACTTTTAGGGGCGAATGGGACACAGCGTCGTCGTCCTCGCCCTCGTCCTCGTCCTCGTCGTCGTCCTCGTCCTCGTCCTCGTCGTCGTCGTCGTCGTCCTCGTCGTCCTCGTCGTCGTCGACGTCGTCGCCGTCCTCGTCGTCGTCGTCCTCCTCCTCGTCCTCGTCCTCGTCCTCGTCCTCGTCCTCGTCGTCGTCCTCGTCGATCTCGTCGTCCTCGTCGTCCTCGTCGTCCTCGTCGTCGGCATCCTCGTCCCCGTCCTCGTCCTCGTCGTCGTCGTCGTCGTCATCGTCCTCATCCTCGTCCTCGTTCTCGTCCTCGTCCTCGTCCTCGTCGTCGTTCTCGTCGTCGTCGTCGTTGTCGTCGCCGTCGTCGCCTCAGCGCCTTCCGCGCGCTGGACCCAAGCTCCGAGACCCAAAACTCCGAGGCGCGCCCGGCCGGGGCCACCCTGGCCGGCTGCCCGAGGCACGCCCGGCCGCGGCCACGAGGACCTCTGGAGGCCCAGAAGAAACCCCGCGACGACGACGACGACGACGACGACGACGACGACGACGACGATACCGAGCACCGGATCCGATCCGAGGCCGGCCCGATGGCCGCAGCGCGCCGGCGAGGCCCCCGGCCTCTGCTCCGGCGCCGCTGCCGCCCGCCGAGCGCGGGGGCCTGCGGGGAGCCGCGGCGGTCGCAAGGGCGAGCGCGGGCGAGCGGCCGACTGCCTGCCTGCCGTGTGGGTCCCGAAACGGTGCGGTGACGGACCGCGCGGTGACCTCGAAATCCCCAACGACCTCCCCGCGCGGGGAGCCACAGTGCTCGCAGGGGCGAGCGCGAGCGAGCGACCGACCGCCTGACCAAAGGCGACCCAAATGCGCGACGAAAGTCAACGGCTCTTATGCTACGCGGTGGCTTACGCGCGAACGCCGGCGTAGTCGACCTCGCTTCTTCCGTCGCTCAACTGAGACTGGCGTAGATGGGGTCGGAGACTCCCACCGCGTCGCCGAGGGATCGGCGATGCATCGGCAATGCATCGGCGAGGTCGACGATGCGCATCGGCGAGGTCGGCGGAGAGAAAATCGGGCTACAAACCGAGCCGCGTCGCCGACGCATCGGCGATGCGGCGCGATCCTCCGAACCCATCTACTGCGATCCCGTTTGGGAGGCCTGGATTGGCTAACTCACTGACTGTCTTACTGGCTGACTGACTTACGCAGAAGGCACCTAGGGCAGGTTCGTATCGTGACGACTTGCACATTGGCTTCTGACACTGAGCGGATCGTCCAACCTCCATCAATGGCAGCTCTCCGATGTCGGGCTCATACCGACCCTGGTCAATGCAAACCCAGGTCAGCCAGGCTTTGCAGGATCCCCCAGGCTCCTGCACGACACCAGGTCAAACGCAACCCTGGCCTTCCAGGATCCCGCAAGATCCGGCGCTCTGGCTGACCCCCGTTTGCACTGACCCCGTCTCAAAGCTCCCGACGGTGGCGCACATCGCCTGGTGTAGGGGGCCACATGCGAACTCTACCCCTACCCCCCACGATCTCTGAGGGGGAGGGTGGGGTTCACTTCGTTCGGGAGCTCCCGAGCAAAGTGAAACCCACCCTTCCCCTCAAAAAAACCGTGTGGGGTAGGGGTAGAGTTCGCATGTGGCCCCGGGCCACTGGCAGCGCCCGACACGTGCAGCGCCCGCGGTGGGGTCACTACCGCGTTGACGCGACGCGAGCCTGCCACTTATGCGCCACCACCGTGCACGGCCACGGCGCAGCACGGCGGTGGTGTACGGCCACCGCGCCAGCGCGGGGGACGCCGACGAAGGCACCCAGGGGCCTCCCCTGGCCACGGCGAGCCTCGGCCACAGGCTGGGACGCCCGCCCCCGACAACCGGAGCCCCTTCCGTCGACTGCAGCAGAAAATACGATCCAGAAAATCATCACTTGAGAGACCTGGGCCAGTTCCCCGGACATGTCTCAAGACAAACACGGCCAGGTCATTGTGTCAACGCTGGAGGGGCGAACGCGTTCAAGAAACTGAGCCAGCTTTCCGGCAAGTTGGCCAAGAAACGCTGGCCCAGCCTCTCGAGAGGAAGTGTCTTAATCAGATGCTCGACCGTACATGCAAGAGTGACCCTGGGTGAGGGTGACCTCTTGTGCGCGGCCTCTTGGAGGCCGCGCGGGGCCAAACACGAGCACGCAAGAAGGCGCCACTGCCGCCTCGCGTTCGGGGGACCAACTTGGGCCCGCACCAAAAGATCACTCCAGCGAAAGGTCACTCTTACGTCTAGTCGACTCTGGAGCCCAGAGCGGTCCTCCTTCCGGCGTCTTGGCTGCGACCAGTGCAACGTCTGCGAAGGACCGAGCGACGGACCGACTAACTGTCCGAATGCCCGACCAGCGCGTGCAGCCACCCGAGAGGGCCGCCCCGAGGCGGAGCGGCCAGCAGCATCGGCTCCGTCCACAGCGCCGTCTCTGGCGCGACCGCAAGCGACCACGAGCCTCGGATAGAAGGTACAGCCATCGTGCTAGTCACCACAAGGAACGCCGAATAGGGAACGAGGGGGCCTTTCTGGACACGGCGAGCCTCGGCCACGAGCCAGGATCCCCGCCCTGGATCTGAGGAACGGCCCGAAAGCCCGAGCCCCTCCTGAACACGAGGTGGCTCTGATTTCAGCGTCTCGACTGTTGATGGTGCCAGCGCGTGGATACCCCGACCAGCTGATGCAAGAAGACCGTGGAACTCGTGTGAGGCATCGGGTAGACTCGCTACCAGGACACGGGAGGGGAAGGCCATCATAGGTCAAGCCATGGGAGGCCACGGCAGGCAAGGCCGCGGGTGCGATGTGGGGATCTATCCGTAAACAACGCCTGGGGGATCGACCTTCTGGGACCTCGGAAGAGGGTGGACACGCAGATACTGGGCCCCCAGGACCCAAATGTATCGATATGCACCGCCTGCCGATGTGACCCAACGATCGATCCTCCGGGCGGTGGCTGTGGACAAATCCCCACCCCGACATGGGAAGCCAGGCAGCCACTGGCGGACAAGCACCAAAGACAGATCCAGATCCTCACCGACCAAGGAGAGCCATGGGCGGCCACGTCGTAGGAGGCCAAGCCAAAGGAGGCCAGGGGCAGGAGGCCCCAGGAGGCCAAACGGCCGCCGGCGACAGGCCCAGCTCCTCACAGCCGAAGCGAGGGCCGCCGTCGGTGCAGAGTGCAGGCGCCACTTGAAGAACATAATGCAACCGCGCCCTGAAGAAGAGTGCAGGACAGCGACTGCGGATCTCAGTCGGGGAGGCGCGAGACTCGAAACGTGAGATTCTCGAACACTTATAGTCAGCGGCCGCGAGATGATCAGACGGCGGACCAACAGCGGCGGGGCGCGCCGGGGAACAGCTAGGCACGGGAGTCTCGAACATGCCTGACGGAACCGTCGGAACAATGCTGGGACCTATCCTGAATTGACGCGAACTCCCGCTGCAAGCATCTCACTAAAACTGGGCCGCTGAAACGCGAAGGCCGACAGGAAGAGGCGGCTGGAGATCTGGCAGAATCTGGAAGGGCATGCACGAACCCCGAGAAGGAAACTGTGAAACAGATGGAGCAGCCTGAAAACAGCAGGCGCAGGCCGTAGACATCGGCAACTGGATCGCAATTGTGACGACGAGCAGCGGTCGTACAGTCGCTACTGTTATGTTAGGTGTTCCTGGAAAGCTCACTCTGCCTTTTCACACGACGTATCAGTGTGGGAGTTCGTGGGATCTGAGAAACACAATTGAAATGCCAATCAGTCCAGACAAAAGAGTGACAGGAGATTGTCCTCAAGATGGCGAGTCCATACGCTGGCCGCTTTTTCAGACGAGCCTAGCCTTTTCCAGTCCAGCCCGGGGAGAGAGTAAGTGGTGGGTCATGCACGTCAGGCAGGATGATCAGTTCTACAGCTTCGGCCTGAAAGCTACTGCACAAAGTGAGCCGCTCAGCAGAACTAGATATTGCAGCGTGCATTCATGCCGCAATCTGCCTCCAGTCACTCCACTCCGTGTCCCTTCTCCTGGGTGCTCCCCTGCTGCTCCTCCTCCTCCTCCTCCTCCTCCTCCTCCTCCTCCTCCTCCTCCTACTTCTCCTCCTCCTCCTCCTCCTTCTCCTCCTCCCCCTGGCCGAGGCCTCTGACCCAGGCCAGAGGAGACGCTCGACGCGGAGATCCTCGCATGTGCACATGGGTTTCTGGCATTTGTGTGTGGGTGCGTCTGAGCGTGAGCGAGCCTGAGCGTGGGTGAGACTGAGTGCGAGCGAGTCCCAGTGCGAGCGGCGTTTCCTGCTGCCTGCTCTCTACTGCTCCCTGCCGCCATTGGCAGCTCTATGCCGCACTCTGCTGTTCTGGTGCGCTCCGCCCAGCTCTCTGGTGCCCTGCTCAGAATGTGTGGCAGGGCGCTCGCGCGTAAACATCCAGGCGCGCAGCCAAGCGCACGCTCACGACAAAATGGAAGCATCGGGGAGGTAATGACGGCGACTGATGCCTGGGAAATAATGACAGTCGTTGGTGGTGGTCTTCTCCTCCATCGCTTCCTCTCCTTCGAGAGCCAGCATTGCGGCCGGCAGGCCGCACGTAGCTGCTGGGTCATCCAGAAAAGCCCACAGAGCGGAATGGGGCTTTGAAACGACACAAGGCTGCGTCCCGACAAGGGCGCTCTGCCTGAGAAGTCCCACCAGTCTGGGCGCGAACGGGCCCATGTGACCCCTGGTGGCTCACCCCTTGGGAGGCCTAAATGCGATGCCTGGTAACTCGCAGTAAACATGGGGCTCTAAAAAGAGGCACGTCCACCACCTCCGATTCGCGAGAGCACGCATGGAGCTTCCACATAATCCACCTCGAATCGAGAAAATCCAATAAAGTTTGCCAGCTAACAGGTTACTACACCCGTCGCGGCCCGCAGAGAACCAAGCGACTCTGACGTTGGCGGCGTTGCGTACCAGCGGCTCTTCTTCCCTCAGCGGGACCATCATCGGAAAGCACGGCTGTCAATCGTCGATGCATTAGCGTAAGAGCATGCCTGGTGAGCCTGCCTCCCCATCGGCATCTGCGCTGCAAGCTACCACCCCCCTGAACCAGAACTGCGAGCACTACCTTCCAGGCCAGACGCGCCGGCTCCCCAGAGGGCCACCCTCCAGGCGAGGCGCAGCTCAAACCGCCTCACTTGACGGAGACGACCGACTCCAGCAGGCTCTGGATCGTCAGGTCGTTCCGGGAGATGCGCGAACGACTGTTCCTGGCAAGCGGGCGCGCTTCCCCCTCGGCTGGAGCAGTGGAGGAGGAGCACCAGTGCCGCCTACGACGACGACGACGACGACGACGACGACGACGACGACGACGACGACGACGACGACGACGACGACGACGACGACGGCTACGGCGACGGCGACGGCGACAGCGACGGCGACGGCGTCGTTGTCACGGTCGCAGCCGTCGCCGCCGTCGCCGTGGCACCCGCCAGGCGCCGTCTAGAGAGCGCGAGGCATTCCGGTGCGGCCTGACCGAGCTCCCTCCCTGACGAGCCCCTTCCGCGACGAGCCTCTCGCCATCAAGACTCCCGCTCGGCCGCCCGCCCGCGTCTTGGAGCAAGGCGAGGGGGCTGCCATGCATGGGGCAGGACCAGCCGGCACCGCATCGGGAAACCGGATGGGATCAAAACGTGCATCAAGTCGGGCCGCACCTGCAGGAACAAAGAGATACCCACATCGCTACCCCACGGCACTCTCTTGGGGTGCGTTCTGACTCCTGACCAGGATCTCGAGGCGAATCCAGCCGTGGCGACGAAGGAAGCGTAGCGGTCTCGGTACCTTTCCCTCCTCTGAGCATCGGCACGGAGTCGGAATCGAATCGAATTGGCCCCGCCAGGATGCACAATAACGCAGACATCCGCCGACATGATGTTTGTTCGGTGCACGGCCCCAGAAGAGTCCCGATCACTTCTCCGGGGAAACTTGTTCGCCACGGATCCATTTTGGATTGTCCTGGGACCCGAAAACGGCACCCGGGAGCCGAAACAAAGGTTCGCAGCGCGCACAAGGGGTGGAAGGAGGGGGGCAGTATTCTTAGAAGGAGGCTGCCGCCACTGTGTCGGGCCCAAGAGAGCCCCAAGACGGACCAAGAGGACCCCAAGCGGCCTGTAAGACGGCCCAAGAGGACCAGGCCGCCTCGCGGCAAAGCCCACGGCGAGCCCACCGCGCCCGAGGCGGCGTTTGCCCCGAGGCGGCGTCTGCCCTGGTGCCCGAGGCGCCCTCCCCAAGGCGTCGGCCGCGCGTCGGTCCAAACAGCGCAGCGGCAGATCGGGATCGAATCGGACCTCGGGCGCGGCCTGTCCAACCCCCAGCGAGCCATCTCCTTCCGTGACGTCATCCTCGCCTTTCAAGCTTCCCTCTGGCCGCATACGTACGTGTTGGGGCGAGGCGAGGGGGACGTCACGGAAGGGAATGGCTTGCTAGGGGTCGGTCCGGCCGCCCCTGAGGATCGGGCCGTCCGAAATCGACATCGGACCAGACCCGTCGGATCGGCCTTGGCCCCAGGCTTCCCTGGCCAGGGCCTGCGCGGGCGGACCGCGGGCGCCCATGGCGGCCTCCCAGTGCCGCTTCGAGGCGCCGCCGCTCCCACGGCGCGGCGGCGCGCACCAACTCCCGACGAGGAGGCGTCGGGAGCAGAGGCGACGAGGTGGGGCGACCTGTGCACGACGAGGGGGGGGGGGGCGGTCCGGATCTTTCTTCTCATCTCCAGGATCTTGTCGTCCAAGTCCGCCACCTGATCGGGGGGCACCCGGCCCCCTTGCCCCCCGCCGGGAGGCTGGGGCCACTCGCTGCGCATCTCGAGCCTGCGGCCCGGCGGCGGGGAGAGGAGGAGGAGAGGCGGCCCGAGGGCGAGACGCACGCCCAAGCCCCACGGCGCGGGCGCGGGGCCCTGGGGCATCGGCGCCGGAGCTGGCTGCGGCGGCGCCAGGGCGCAGGGGCAGCTGTGGCCGGGCCCGAGAGGCAGGGATGCGGGGGCAGGCTCGTGAGGCACTGCGCCCCTGCTGCGGACCTGGGCTGCAGCGAGGGCGCGGAGGTGAAGTTATGTAGGCTCTCTCTCTCTCTCTCGCTCTCTCGCTCTCTCGGCCTCTCGGCCTCTCTCTCTCCCTCGCCAGCGGCGGGAGGCCAGAAACCGCTGCGCGCGGCCAGCCGCCCGCAGAGCGCGGCGAGGCAGCGCGGGAGAGCCCAGTGGGGCTTGGCTCACGGTGAGGAGCTTGTGCTTGGCGTGTCGTGGCGGCGGCCCCGGCGACACGCTGGGCACATGTGGGCCCTGGTCGTCTTCCCTCTTTTCAGCTCCTGCCAGCGTGTCGCTGCGCTCCGCGGGGCAGGAGGCTGAGAAAGGCTCGGGACGTTGACGCTCGGGGGCGGAAGAGTGCTTAGAGCGTCCCGCAGAAGCGTGGTGGGCCAGAACCGGCGGCGCAATGCGCTAAATAAAAGTTCCCGACAGTATGTCGACGATGGGCATGAGGAATGCGATAAGTATAGTATGCAAACGCTTGGAGCGATCCAGAAAGGGCCTCGCCTTCGAGGAGTCGACAAGTTGACGTCTCTTCCTCGGCGGATGGCTGGCGAAGGCGGCATTTGGAAAATGTGGGCGTCTCTGGCGGCAGAAGCTGGAGGAAGACCCGCGGAAGCCAGCGGAAGCAAAAACAATCGACGCTGGGCTACTGGACATCGCAGCAGGTGTTCACGTGGCCGCAAGCATATTGAACATTATGATCCTCCGCCGATGTTTAAGACGTTGCCCTGCAAAGGGTGAGGTTGACAGGCGGTCACCTAAATCGAAAGATACCGACAACGCACCTCCGAGGACCTCTCCCAGGGTGCGCTCTGACCAGAATCTCGCGGCGAATCCAGCCGTGGCGACGAGGGCCTCCCAGGAGGGCCAAAAAGGCGAACACGAGGCAAGGGTACAATTTCCTCTCCCTCTCATGAAGCATTGCAGCTGGCACGCGAGTGTGAAACAGAGCACAACCAGGCAAACTGGAAGCGCGGCACCTGTCGACCTACAAGGACCAGGCGGGCACACGTTGCGAGCCGCTGCCCAAGCGGCACGGCGGACCTGGAGCGTGGCCTGCACTGGAGTCATTTTTTTCATACCAAGCCGATCCCCGAGCCTCTCCCAAATACCGTCCCGACAAATCTCTGGAGCTGCGTCCGGCCGCGGCCACTAGGGACCGCAGGGAAGCCACACACACACACACATACACACACACACACACTTTTTGGCGGTAGCAGCCTCTCGCGCGGCGACGAGGCGGAGTAAATAGCAGCACTAAACGCGCGGTCCGGCCAGGCCTCAAGAATCACTTAGGATTCGACGCACCTACCGTCATCAGCCATCCGGGCGTGGATAGCAGGGAGGTGACACGCCAGCCGAAGGCCCTGCCCGAAACGGCGGCATGAGCAGGGGAGGCACGGCATAAAGCGCATCCGGGCGTGGATGGCAGGGAGGTGACACGCCAGCCGAGGGCCCTGCCCGGTCAACAGCATGAGGTGAGAGGGGAGAGGGCGAGCAGGACAAAATGCCAAATAGCGGAGGAGCTGCGCCACGCGAAAGGGCAGACGGCAGGCGAGAGAAAGGTGCAGGAGCGTCGCTCCGCGACGAAAGCAGCAGGGCAGGAGCCCGCGGGCGACGGGGAGACACACACACGCATGTTTTGTCTCTCTCTCTCTCTCTCTCCCTCCCTCTCTCTCTCTCTCTCTCTCTCTCTCTCTCTCTCGTCTCTCTCTCTCTCTCTCTCTCTCTATATATATATATCTATATATATATATATATATATATATTTATCTCTGTGTCCCCTTTCCTCGTCCCTCTCCTTTTTACTCCTCTCACCAGGGGTTTTGTGCTACAGGGGGGCTGCCAGCGGAGACCCCCCCCCATGTCCTCTGGGGACTCCGAAGCCTGGCCAGGGGCGGCAGCGCGACGCGAGTCCGAACCCTCGGAGTTAACCGGGAGCGGCAGCGCGACGCGAGTCCGAACCCCCTCGGGTGAGGGCGGCAGCGCGCGACGCGTGTCCGAACCCCCCCCGGGACCCCTTTCCCATCCTCAGATGGCTCGAAATCGGCACATCTTCTAGCCAACTCGGCTTGGGCAGGGTTTAGGGCGGGGCCGAGGCGGCTACGGAGAGGCGGTTTAGAGGAGATCGTTTCGAGGACGGAGGGGGGACGAGATAAAACCCATGAGAATCTCAAGGATATTTATCTCTGTGTCCCCTTTCCTCGTCCCTCTCCTTTTTACTCCTCTCACCAGGGGTTTTGTGCTACAGGGGGGCTGCCAGCGGAGACCCCCCCCCATGTCCTCTGGGGACTCCGAAGCCTGGCCAGGGGCGGCAGCGCGACGCGAGTCCGAACCCTCGGAGTTAACCGGGAGCGGCAGCGCGACGCGAGTCCGAACCCCCTCGGGTGAGGGCGGCAGCGCGCGACGCGTGTCCGAACCCCCCCCGGGACCCCTTTCCATGCACCCCTTTCTGGTTTACCGCCAATATCCCAGGGACGGGTGGGGAGGGTCCGGAAAATGCTGACAGCGAAGCTGCTCAGAAATTTTGCTCCCTCTTTTCACTCTCTCAGCCCACGTCAAAGTTAAGAGCACCAGCCAGTACACGAAATCGTTCCATCTCTGCAGGCAAGAAATCGTTCTGAAGCAAAGTCTGCACACCGTCACTGATGTAAAGTCTGGCCACGGCGGTATCTTGCCATCTCCCAACTACCAAAGTCAAGCCCATGTTCTCGAATCTTCTATAGTGAGTGGTGGCACCTCCACGGCGCAAAGAATATATTTGATAACCTTGCCGCTCCAGGTTCAGTGACTTCAAGAGAGCTTTGAACACATCACGAAATTCGGGCACGGTGCCCTGCAGCAAAGAGCTCTCAGGCGGCAAGTGCTGAGTGAGCACTCTGACGAAGTGGACAATCTTAGCGTCGTGGAGCGTGACTGACTCTTCGCAGTGCCGCCTCTTGCCTGCCTTGGTCACCGGCAGGGCTATCACGAGGCTGAGGCCATCGTTGCTGAACTGCAGCTGCCACTTTCGAAGAGTAAGAAGCTCCATTGTTCGCAAGAACACCGAGTAGCCAATCACAAGAAGCACTGCCACGTCGTTTCGACTCCACGATCGAGCCACCGTGGCAAGCGACATCAGCACATACTCTGGCATGGGTGGTGCTCTTTGTGGCGTCTCAGTCCGCTGCCAAGCCTTCAGCAAGCTCCACGCACTGTGCAGCACTCTCTTGCGTCGCAAGAAGAACTGTACGCCAGATAAAGTGGCCCCAGCATCTCCAGCAGGCCTCCCATGCGCCCACAGCGCTTCAATCCATTCACATAACTGAAAGTCGAGCTGCTCCAGGTCAGTGGCCACGTCGATACCATGGGCACGAATCCAAGAGACAAAGCTTTGCACCATCTGACCATATCTGCGAAACGCACGAGGTTGAACTAATGTGTGTGATAATCTGCCAATCGCGCGTCGCACCCGAATGCGGGACACCAAGTCTACCTGATAATCAATGCGACGCTTCCTCGGCATTGCTGTCACCTGAGGGGCCGCCTTCCCGCGAAGGGTCGTCGGCCGGGTTCTTGTCCGTCTCGGTGTACCCGTAAATCGGTCTTGCCGACGCCGCCAGGACCAGAGCTGAGATCCTTTTGACGGCTGCGTTGAGCAGATGCGAGGAAGAGCGCCCCCGCGATATCACACCAAGTCCAACCTGCGAATCCATCAGATGAGCGAACCTCGTGCCAAGGTGATGGCCCACTCTGAAGCGCCAGCGAAGGCCTGCCAGCGTGCTCAGCACCTCCAGCGCCGTGATGTGGCTCTTCCACCTCCACTTCCAGACCAGCACTGTCTTCCACGTCCAGCGGCTCACGCTGATCGGGCGGCGTGGCCACAAGTCAGGGCGCATGACCTCCAGCGTGTCGAGGCGCACGTCCGAGCCCCTCACCTCAGCTCGCCGGATCAGCTCCTCCACGATCTGAATGCTTGGGTCCGCCTGCGCCTCGGCCTCTTCGAGGCCACGGTCCCTGATCACGACCCCGCTGTCGTCGCCCTCCTTGGCCACCTGCACCAGGCCCTCGGCAGCGTCGAAGGCGCCTCCGACCGCGCGCGCCTCCGCTATCGCGGGGATCGTGTCCAGGTAGCCGTGTCGGTGAGCCCAGTGCGCCACTATCCAGGCCACCACGCCGCACTGGAACGAGTTGCCCAGCAGGGCGCATCGCACCACCTCGAGCTCAGCCAGCTTGCGGAATCTTGTGGCCCGCGCTGTCGCCGTGTGCCCAGGTGGAAAGTCCATCAGCATCTCTCTCTCAAAGGAGTCGGCGGGCTCCAACGCACCTCCTTGCCATCGAAGACAGTGAGGATCTCGAAACTGGTACGGCGCGTAGCAGAAGTCGTGCCTCCGCCAACGCTCCAGCTCGGCCTCGCTGCACTGGCGCAGGCCTTTCGGCTTGTCGCCGGCACGCCCGCGCGGGATGCACCTCACGAAGGTGGGCAGCCGCTGCTCAGGATCCTCGGCCCCTGACCACTCTCGCCCAGGGCGCAGCCAGCGGCCCAGCGGGCCTGGACCTCCAGGGATCGCCACTTTCACCATCTCGCTCTTCACACTGACTTCGCCCTGCCACGGCGTCATGAGGTCGGTGTCACACCAGTAGAGCCTCTCTCGGCGAGCGTGCGAGATGTCGGCGGCGTCGATCATCACCGGGGTCAGCCCCATGTGCTCTGACATCGTGTCGCGATCCTCGGCCGT